CTTGTCCCCGTCAACTCCATCTTTCCATTCCCTGCCGTCGCTGGTGCAGAGACACCGCGCGAAGTCCCCGGTTTCTCCCGTGGCATTTCCGATGACAGCGGCGGGGCTCCATTCCCCGAGCTGTCGGAGTCACGCAGGAAGCAAAGTTTGTCGGAAGCCTTGGGGGTGGCTTCGTCTCGGGGCCCCGCATTCGTGCGTCCGCGGGGAGCCTCGGGGTGCTCGAGCTAGTTTCCCAGTTTCGCGGGCAGTGGGTGCGGGCTCCGGAGCCCCTCCCTTCTCGAGCCCCTACAGCGATTTGTTTAGGAAAAGTGATGACATGAACTAGTAGTGGTGAATCGCAGGCGCCTGTTCTCCGCCCTGGAGAGGGCGGGGAGCCCCGGAGAGCCGGTCGGTGAGAGCTGGGAGCAAGCTCCCCGGCTCGACTCGGCACCCCAACCCAAAGGCAGGATCTGGGGGCAAGGCGCGGGGTGGGGGAGAGGAGCTCGGAGCTGCATGAATGCTGCCCTGTGGCCGCCCAGATGAGGGAACAGCCCTATCTGCCTGGCTCTGAGTCTCCAGGCGGTGGTGGTTGTGGAATGCAGACGCCAGGACATGATGGAAACAGGTTTGTCTCTTTGGAATTTCGGATAGGCGGAATAATGGGCATGCCATCCACCTCCTCATTGTGCCCACTTGGAACTGTTCCTTGGACATTTTAAGGATAGATGGGTCTTCTTGCAGCTGGGTCTTTGTACCCATAGAGCTGACTGTAATTTTCACTTGATTACAGCTAAAATAGTCTTTAAGATGAAGTTTCCTGAAATGATTTAAAATAAACACAGATGGGAAGGGAGAAAGCTGTAATGAGGCGTTTAAAAAATAAAGTGAGCATTTTCTTAAGAGCAAATGGGATGTTTCAGTCTTGGAGAGGTTTGCAAGAAATGTATTTTTTTTTTTAATCTTTTGAGATGAAGGGTTTTTAAAACCTGCTTTAAAAAAAATGTTATGGACTCTGAGCAAGGCTCTTCTCTCCTATCCATACATGTTTTTGCTGTATTTCTGACTTTGGAATGTGTCCACTTTTCTTTCTAGGACTTGAAGACCCTTCCAGAATGCCAGAGGAAAGTTCTCCCAGGCGGACCCCGCAGAGCGTTCCGTACCAGGACCTCCCCCACCTAGTCAATGCCGACGGACAGTACCTCTTCTGCAGGTACTGGAAACCCACGGGCACGCCCAAGTAAGTCTTCCCCGGAGTGCCTCTCCTGGTGCACATGGGAGCTGTGGCACCTGCCCCTCCCTCCTGATCATGTGCCATCTCCTGTGGGGCCACTTTCTCCATGACCTACTTCCCATGGCGGTTTTGTGTTGGGCACAGCAGTGTTAACAAAGCTGAAATTTATACTTCGTGATTTTTTTGTGAAAATTAAGGAGCAGGAGATTTGTTGGATTTTTTGTTTTTCATGATAACAACTAGGAAATGGATTCTACCGTATGGCAATCTTTGAAAATTCCACATGACTTTATTTTTTGTTCTGGAGTTGATTCTGTTGTACAGACATTCATTTAAAACCAGACTCCCCAACAGTTAAAGAAAACCCCCTAAATGGATAAGAAAACCAAAGTAATATACATGTACACGTATACGTGTGTGTGTGTGTATTTTAACATTTGCTTTCTTTTCCTGCTTGATTCTGAGCTTTGGAAGATGACATACATGTGTCACTAGGAAGAAAGGGGTCTGGGTATTTCCTTCTGATTCCTTGCCAGCTCAATTACTTTGTACATTTTCCATCAAGGATTTGTCTTGCTATTAGAAACAGGCGTTGGGACTACACACAAGACAGCTGGTCTCCTCCTGCTCCCCTCCTCTTGGATAAGGCAGGAAAACCCTGCTTGTTTGTGTAATTCAGGGAAAGAAAGTATTTGTGGCAACCAATTGGCCAGGTGACAAGTGAACATTTCCTTTTCCAGGGACATTTTACCTGTTTCATAGCCCCTTTTCTCCTAGGAATCATGGTTTGGTGTGGATTATGGCTCTCTCTGTGTCTCAGAAATCACCCAACCATAGCACAGCTGTAAGATTCCTCCTACATCTTCAACAAGGTATATATATCCAGGTAGCTGCACATTAAAAATGTAGAGATACGAACTTTTAAACCCTGGCTTAGAATCATAGCTTCAGAGCAGCTATACAGACTGGCTATGACTTTCTCTCTAGTGTTTCCAGAGGGGGTAATGGCTGATAAGAGTTCCTACCAGTTCTGGCAATATCTTCCATAAAGATTTCCTCCAGAAGAGAATGTGTCTGTGTGTACATATGTGCTAGAGGAAAGGAGGGAGGGGGATGGGGGGGTGCCAAGCAATGTAATGCTAATGAATCATTAATTCTCCACTCTGACTTAACTGGCTATAGAATTGCATATTCTTGGTTTAATTTCTAACAGATTAGTGGTACGTGGTGAGTTATTTGACCAATACACAGAAAGAGGACAAAGCATTGAAAGTAAAAGTTGTTAATGTCCGAGTGTCAGACTTCGAGGGCTTTGTTGGCTGAGTAGTGGGGTTGTCCTAGTTCGAAGTCAACAAAATGAAAAGGGTCTACGGTCCTCGAATGGGAGAAGGGCAGTGGGTGAGTGGGTTAGAAATGGCCGAGTTGGCTGCCCTCCCCTCAGCAGTGGGTGGTTTCACAGTCTCTGTGCTGAAGTTGCATTGCAGAGAGCTCTCCCTGCCCCACTGCTTTTGCTCTAGTTAGAGATGACAACTCAACTCCTTAGTTTAGACTGAGCTGTTTTTTGGAAGTCAGTTCTGCCTCGTGGTGGATGCTGATGGGAATAAGAGCAGGATCAAGACAGTTGGGCCCTAGAATTTAGAAGAAACATGTGAATCTGGAAAAAGTTAAGGAGTGGGGGAGGATTTGAAGATGCCAAAATAGAAATAACAACAGAAAAACTAGCATTGTGGCTCAGTTAACACTTTCCGTCTTCTTCATTTTACTGAAGAGGAAGAGACTGGCCAAGGGCTCTTCCTTCGGCTGGCCCAGGGGTCCTGGCTTTGGATCCCTCCTACTTGCCCTGCTTCCACCCCCTGGGCATGATATAGAGCGATAAACTCACTTTTGAGGTTGAGGAGTTCTCTGTCAGGGGCAATCTTCAATGCATTTCACAACCCACCTTGACCAATTAGAATGGAGCAGGATCCTGGAGGTTCCCTGCCCTGACAGTTGTCAACCCTGTGCTTGTTGGGTCTTGGGAAGGTCATGGGGTTCCTGGGGGTGGGGGAGAGGTGCAGGGAGGAAGTATGTGCCAACTGGCATGGAAGCATCTCTGTGTCCTAGTAACTGAGACCAGCTGCTTAGCAGGCCTGCCCTCTGATGTGATCTGGGATACTCCTGCATTATCATTATTGCCTGCACAGCACTGTCCCGTCTGCTTTTAGGAAGAGAGAGAGGACCTTGGGTCACCAGGGCTTCACCCCATCCCCTCCAGGCTGTTGGCCCCTCTTTAGGGCCTTTCCCTGCACAATCACACCTTCTTCCAGTTAGGATGAAAGGAGGGAGGAAAGAGAGGGAGAAAAGAAAGAGGAGACTTTACCTTCCCCCACTTCCCTGCCTACTATGGAGAAAATGTTGATCAAAGGCACCTTGGCTCCACCTGCTTCTCTGTTATATTATTCACAGAGGCCCTTAGGACCTCAGAAGTTGCCCTGGGGCTGTAGGCCATCCTGTACAGGGGTGTCTGCACCTGCCTTTGTGAGTTGAGTATGGGTTGGGTTGGCTTTCTGGTCAACTATTTGCCTGCAGCTCCTCGGGCCTGCCCGAGTACCTGCAGGGACATTCTGCCCCCAGAGAACTCTCAGGGTTCCAAGACCGGTTCTGCAGGTGGCTCAGAGCAACGTGAGTCATAGGTGTCAGCCACGAGCTGAGAAACCAGCTTAACTTGGTTTATGGAAGCAAGTTATGTCTTTATAAGTGCCAGCCTCCTCAGGTTGGACAGGGAGAAAAAAGAAAGCATGTCTTGGGTTAGTCTTCATGATCAGTGCATACAAACTCTGTTCTTAACATGGCAGGCCAGAGTCTCAGTATTTACTCCTTATGAACCAGAGAGTTTAAACCTCCATTTGGCAGTGCCCAGGCAAATGCATGCTCATCCAGTAGCATTCATGGTGATAACGAATGTCATATACTTAAGGCCTAGGAGAATCCTCTCATACTAAGTACCAAGTGTGTTCTGGGTTCTGGACTAAGTCCTGCAGACACGTGATCTCACTTTACCTTCACTTCCATCTCTGAGGCAAGTTATGATGCCCAGTTTACAAATGAGGAAACAGAGGTCCAAAGTTATCATGTGTCTTGCCCCAAATGACCCAGCTAGCAGTAGCTGGGTTTGGTCCAGGTTCCTCGGACTCGGAGTCATTTATTCATAACACACCACCAAGCAAGAGAGCTTTTTCTGATTTGGGATGAGGGTAAAAATCACTTCCCAGGCTAAGCAGGAATAGAATCATCCATTCTCCCTAATCAGCATATTAAAAATGAGAAAGGAGCTGGATGTGGTGGCACATGCCTGTAGTCCTGGCTACTCAGGAGGCTGAGGCGGGAAGCTTGCTTGAGCCTGGGAGTTCAAGTCCAGTCTGGGCAACATAGTAGGACACTGTCTCAAACAAACAAACAAAAGGACATAAATTAAAGATATGCATCCTTTATGGAAAAAAAAAAATGTCCCGGTTGACTGGCTGCCCGATCCAGATTTAGTAGGTTAGAATTCTAAAATATTGGTCCATTAGCAAACTTCCACTAACACTTTCAGCAGGGTGATGGAGACTGGCCCATGGATGGTGTCGAGCTACTTTGTGAGCCCTTGAACTGGAAGATCATAGTTGCTCTTGTGCCCTTGGGTAATATTTATAGCACCTTTTAATTCAGTCCACCAAGTGGCTTTCAGTCCCTATAAAGGATGACTTGAAGTTAAATGCTGAATCTTACTCAGCCATGCCCAGAACAGTGAAGGTACTTCTGCCCTCAATGGCTAGATAACATTGCTGGGGTAGAGGAAGGAGTGGTCTGGAAATAATACTCAATCTGGCAACTTAGACTCTGCGTGACCAGGGAGGCTGGAGAGCATGCTGTAATTGTGCGATTATACAGTTTTGATCCCTCCAAGACAGTTCACGGCACGGAGCGGATGGTATTTACCTGTTCATCTGCAAGGCCTGGCATGAAGTAGATGTGAAGGAGAAGTGTGTTGAATAGACACAACAGTGCTCTTGATCTTTCTCTAAAGCTAAAGCCTCCCTCATGCTTGTGCACTTGGTCTTCAGGGCAGCCCCTTCAACTCTGAAGCGCTGATAAGCTTTCTTTTCTGTAGCTTTTGTTGCAATAACAACCGGTGTATTGAACAGAGCTGCCTCAAAGTGTGGTTGACCCTCCACTTGCAGGTGTCCTGAGGAACACCCCTGGGGAGGCGGGCCTTCCCACCCTTCCTTGAGAACACTGCCCTCAGGCTTCTGCAAGTGGCTCCTCTTTTAAATTCTGTGTAGCGTTTTGTCCCAAATTCCAGAAGATAAGCTCGTTCTCTAGACCTTGCTAGCTTGGCCTTCTTGTCCCTTCTGGCCTCAGACTGCAGTCACGTGGCTTTTTCCCTCCTGTAACCCAGCACCTGCAGCCAGCCCTTCCCCATGACTCCCTCCTCTCTCCAGCTCCACCCACCTGACCTCCCCCTCCCCCCACCCCTTACGCTTGCAGTTTCCGGGATTTTCCTGTAGGTGACTTGGAGCTGGAGCCTGTGAGTGGGGCACACGACAGGGGCCGGACTAACAAGAGTGACGTGGCAGTTTCTGAAACCTGCTCAAGGTCTCAAAACTGTGGTCATTGTTGGTGGGGCTAGAATCAAGACGCTAGGCACCCGCTCCTGCCATTCCTGTCCTTATTGCCCCAGTGGGGCTCTGCTGACCCACCCGGCTCAGCCCCGCCCTTTTCTGGCTCACATGGATCCCTTTCTCCACAAAGCCTTCGCTGGGGTGCTGGGGTGTTAGGCAGTGCCGTTTTAGGACACTCCCTCCACCCCGGCAAGTTTACCTGGAGGAGAAGCCATTGCCCCGAAGCTGGCACACAACAAACGAGGAAGCAGAGGTCCAAATTCCTCTAAACAAATAAGCAAAGTTAAATGGTACAAAGCATTCTCCCTTCCTCCAGCCCTTGTAACATCCTCAGGTCAGCCGCCAGTCACACTCACACTTGGG